GTTCTCGCCAGCAAATAAGATTTTTCTGGACTGGATAACATGGCTATAGTTATTCACAGGTTTGAATTTGTCTTCAGCCGGTTCTTCTTTTAGCTTTCCCTGCACTGTTTTTTGATTGATGTAAGGTTAATTGGTCCATTAGATAGCTGTTCCTGTCATTTCAGCTCCAGAATTATTCCTGAGCTTGGAATGTGGAAATATTTCATTGCGCTGGGCTGCGTATGCCCCGCATGCCCCCACTGCCGCAGACAGCTTAAGTGTGATTGAGTAACTAGAGCCAGCTGAAACGTCTTGTCGCCTCGCAGCATCCTTCTTACTTTCTGCACCTCTTCCTGCTCCCCCGAATCCCACCAGGCTTTATTAAGAGAGCTTTGTGGGAACCATTAACGCCAAGCTGCATAATTACATTGCTCTGAGCTTTGACTCAGTCTTTAGGAAGAGCTTAAAAAAAAGAAAATGCATGCGGCTCTAGAAATTTATATTCCTCAATGACAGAATTTTAAGTTAGTAAATTAAAAGGTTTACTCAATTTACCTAGAAAGTTATGGTAATTAACAGTTAGAGAGTCTATCTGCAGAACTACTAGAGGCACTGAAATAAGGTTGTGAAAACATGACACGCTAATGAGCTGCCATGTTATTATGCTCGTGCTTCACCTTGCAAATTACACATAAAGCTCTTACCTACTTCCTTTTTTTAAAAGGAGGATGGTTTTGCTGTTCAGTTTGCCTTGTTTAGAATAGTGTGAAACAATATTCTGTGCTGGGGTGTATGTGTGTATACACATATATATATCAATTTTTATTTAGGTGATATGCTTTCTTTCATCCTTGCACAGATCAGACTTTTATGTATTTGCAAGTCTTTGTTATTGTATGTGTTTTTGTTAAGGCATGTATGTAAAGCACAGTGCAGTTATACATCTCATGCCAATGTATGTGCCCCACTGCCATCTGTGTGGCTGCACAGCCAGGGTTGCATTTCAGACCCAGGTGTGATAACCGGGCCCCGTTGCCTCCCCTTCATACATGCTGTTACGAAGGCAGGGCAGAACGTGCCCAAACTTCTGACCGCCTGCTCTTTTTCCCTCTATCTCTGTCACTGTGCCAGGTGCAGTGTCCAATACTTTGTCTTCTGATGAGGAGGTGGCACAAGAACCAAACCTTTGCACTATCTTTTGCCCTGTGTGGCCTAAGATGTTGTTAGTGACTTGCAACAAATAACCTTTTTGTGATTGATTAAGAAGCTGAACGGTTTTAAAATGTTTGTGCATTAATATTGAAGCTCTGGCATCTTTATTTATATTACTATTAAAATAGAAAAAAAAGAAAAGGGCAAGGGGAGCTTTGGCTCACATTAGTATTTTGAGTTTCTGGAGGGCTAGCCTAGGCACTGACACTTTTAAATTTTGTCTCATACAGTTACAGCCTTTCTGCCTCAAAGCTAAAAACTTTGGAGGGAAAAAGATAGTGTTTAAGCTCTGTCAGTGTCATGGCTATAGGCCACGTGTTCCTTTCTTCATAGGAAAATAAACATTGGCACTTGCCCATTAGTGAACTGGTTCTCATTTTGGCTCTTTCTTGGTCACAGCCTCTTCAGCGACTTGCCCGAGCAGTCAAAGATTGATTTAATTTTGTGAGCAGCGCACACTGAGTCCGCAGCACTAACGGGCTGTAAGTGAGAAGCGGATCATCTGGTTGGTTTGGATGTGGCTTCCCGAGAAGGGGCACGAGTGACTGTCTGTGTCTGTGCTGTTCAGTTTGTGCTGTGTGATGCTCTTTGCTTTGGCTTATTTTTAACCCTGGTGGCTTCTAGTAAGTGTCAAACAAGCAGCTTCTAATAAGCTGCTTGGAAGCAGTTTCTGTGAAGTGTCTTGGCTTTGCATTTCATATCTCTATGTACTCTCCCTTGAAGGTGTGCAGAGCACCCATTCACACGGCTGTAGTTTGCCGTTCTGCAATTAACAGTAAAGAAAGGCAGTAGCACTTACGGAAGATTTTACTTTTTTAGTGGTATCTTTAAAATCATAGCATACTCATTCGTAAGTGTTTTATTTCACCAGGTTTTAAACTTGGCAATTGCAGACAGAATTCAAACATTTTGTCATCTCAGGTTCTCTGCAAATGCAGCTTATTCTCTCCTAGACAATCATTGCAAGCTGCTATTTTATGCACTGCTTTCCCCCCCCCCCCTTTTTTTTTTCCTCCTTTCATTTACAGTCCTTCAGCCGTCACTTAAAAGTGCTTCTGAAGAGTGGCAGAGTGGCAGTGGTAACTGGTTTTTTTTTTTTTTTTTCTTGTCAAATGCAAATCTCTCACCTCCCAAGTGTGAACATACAAAGCTCTCTTACTGGTATATATTTTTTTAATAACAAAATTAGGCCACAGTTAGCTAAGCAGAGTGACCTGATTCGTGCTGGATCAACATGTTACCAACTCGAGGTTGTCACTATAAAGCAAGCGTGGTGAAGTCTGCCTGTTCCAACTAAAATCAAAGCAGTCTCTTGACATGCAGCCGTGCTGAAATCAGCACTTTGCACAAAGCGGGGCTAAATGCAGACTGAAGGCTTTCTGTGTGTGTATGCAACTACCGGTCCCCAACTAATTATTTATAAACAGAAGAAGTTTTGTTGTATTTTGACCTAGGAGGCTATGAGAGAAAGCAGAGTTGTTGCTTGGCTTTTCCTTACCTATGGCAGATTTGACTTTGCAAGGTGTATTTAATGTTTTCTTTAAAGTAGGCCACCTGAGAGTCCCACGGAGTAATTCCCTTGCTGAGTTAGCAGTCTGGCCCATTAGAAAGATGGAGGGGGGGAAATAAATAATAAAAAAAAAGATACTGCCAACTGTGAAGCAAATGAATCGATACCGGTGCAAGTGGATCCGTTTGCTTCTTCCCGCATAACCAGAAAAGCAGCAACACAGCTGTAATGTCTGACACACAGATTTAAAAAACAAATATAAACACGCACACGAACACACACATTGGGTTGGCTTTTATTGGAAAGCCTAGATGCAATCTATAGTTATCAATTTGTGGAAAATTCAGGACACATATAAAGTTAAGAAGGCAAATTAAAAGAACAATACAAATCAGACGAAATATACATCTCAAAATATCAGGATAGCATTTTGACTGGCAATGCCTAAAATACTTTGAATCTCCTTTTTTTTTCTGTAATATGCTTCTTTTAATTATACATTTTTTTTTCTTTAAAAAGATCTTTTGTTTACATATTCCCCAAGGTCACTATTTCCTGCAGGAGCATGTCCAGATCACAAGTCTTTTTTAGCAAGAAATAGGCTCATTATACCTACTAACAAGGCCACTAATTGGCTTGATTTGACTTCATCTAAAATGATCACCAACAGATACTCTAATTTGTTGTTTATTGGTGCCAGAACAAAGGAGAAGGAACTGGTACACGTCAAGTAGAAGATATATTTCATTGTTGGCATGTTATACAAGCTTTTCATATTCAAACAGAACAGAAACATTTGACATAATTTAGAATATGAGCCTATTTGGACAGAGAGCACTTACAGCATGCTAAATACAGTGCTGTGGAAGAGCCACCCAACAGAACTGCAAACACCTAGCATTTCACATTTCCAAAAATGATACGCAGATCAATGACACGCCTCGGGGCTCTGACAGATCCTCCGCTCTAAATTTAGGGCCCTCAAGACTTGAAGGGTAAAAATACTAACAACTAATCTGTGCTTTCATTCTAATAGATGATTAGCATTCGTTACATGTGTACTTAGTTCTGTATGCTCTACCAAAGACACACATACAGGAACAGCACTGGTACTGTAGATCCGGTAGCAACTTGGCTGGGAGAAGTTCAAATCTGTTTATCAAACAATCCTAATGTGCAATTTGGAGTATGTAATACCATAGAATCTCAGAATACAAAGCAGTTAGAAAACTATTTTTATTACATCCACTTGAACCATTCATAGTTAAGACACGTTCACTTACTATGTTTTGTCATTATAATACATGGATAGAAATACTGTGTATATTTCAAGGAACATCAAAAAACCCCAATTTTGTCTCATCTTAAAAATATTACTTTTTGCGGCTGAATTTAGTGCTCATGAGAGTAAAGCTCTGAGAATGGTTTCAGCCAAGAAGTAGAACAGATGCCATAGATGCCATCGCAGGCTTCCTATGAGGAACCAGCTGCACGCTTCAGTTCTGTCCTGCAACAAATCAGATACAGGGGGGTCTTGGAGCAGGGCATGCCAAATCTATGCGGTGGTGTTGAGATGCAGACTAGGCACTAGGATTAGACCTTCCTCTCCCTCCCCATGGTCAGTCTTCGCAGTGGTGGGGTTCGATGTGCCCGTGGAAGGCCAGGGACCGAACCTACGGGACAGCCTGCCTGCCCAAAGAGCCACTATGCAGCATCAGGCCAGAGGGACACGTCCTCTGTCTGCAGTCGAAACGTCTAAGAGAGTTGTACTATACAGAAGACAAAGTTGACATAACTGGATGAAACTACATCATTTCTTCTTCTTCTTCTACATACAGTTTGCCGAGCACCTGAGACACTATTCTCTCCATTGTGAAACAAAGCTTCTAAAAAAACAACAGAAACCCCACTTGGTACGAATAAATGTCCATTTATTACATCAGGGCCGGAAAAAGACAGGGAAAACCCAACCTATTAAAGTCTTCCATCATAATAAACGAGACTTATTTGGTTACTGTGCCTCCTAACAATGACTGATGAAGTGGCACTGGCCTGGGTGACGGGAGCGGTACAGGAGGGGAGGGAGCTGCGCGCGGATTCCGCCAGCCGCGCTGGCGTGTTCCACCCTATCAGCACTGATAGATGCACAGCTTCAAACCTAATACAAAAATATTAACACTTTTGGACATTAGTCATCACTGTTGTTATATCTCTACAATATAATCCTTTATACTGTACAGCTATAACATAAAAGGTGCAATTCCTTTTTTTTTCTTTAAAAAAATCACACACAGCACACGTTTTTATCATTTTATTTTTTAAGTATAAACTTTTTTAAACACTTTACATAAATTAACTCCTCTGAGACTAATATTTGATGTACAGTAAATTGTAATTCATATAAAAATCCATAAACAACTTGTCTCACATAATTTACAAAAAAATCAGGGTTTCCTTTGCTTATCTATAACAAGGATTCTACTGCCATTCCTCCCCCCAAGGCAAACCATGTTAGCATTGTAAAATCCATTATTAAATTCCCATGGTAGCATAAGTCACTTGTGCCAATGTCCTTTTAGAAAGCAGCACAGTTTAAAGCAGTTGGGTTGTCTATAAACAGTAATTTTTGCCCCATGTTTTAAAATTAACAGATATATATCACATCCTATGCAGAAAGAGAGAGAAAAAGAGAGAGAGAGAGAGACTACTTCTGTAAGCAAAGGTCAACAATTCAGTAATACTTGGAAACACTGTATGGGTCTGTATCTTAATTAAATACAGTGCCTCAAAGGAACAGACAGCCTGTTGAAAAATCTTTAGGCCTTTTTTCTTTTTGTTTTTCTTCTTTTTTTAATACTTCTCAGTCCAACTTGAGTGCAGCGATATGCATATGTAAACATATTCTTTAAAGCAGATCACCTTTAAGGTCATTGAGAAAAAAAAAAGTTTTGTCATTAGCAATATCATTCTTCTGGAAGGCGCTCCTTTCGTTGCAGAGTCTGTTCGGATTGTGCTACAGAAAAAAATCTGAGCAAAGATGTAAGCTTAGGCTCAAGTAGTAATGCAGCAAAACAGTTTGGTCTCCTTTTTAGAAGACACTTGGTACACGGTCTCTTTGGCAGCCTGAGCTAAGCCAGGGTGTTACCTCTTTCCTATCTCACTTTGTCTGAGGAACTGTATGTTGTTAGCGCTGTCTGCTAATTCTGGATATTGCTCCACAGAGAGTACATAGTACCCATCGTATCCTTGTACCTTCCCAGCACTCAGCAGCTGCCTCTTTTCGCCTTCTGTCCACAGCCTGGCGCCCTCCTCCCCGTCGCGCACGCGCTGCTGCTCCCTGGCCCAGGCGCTGGCGAGGGCTCTCTGCCGGGCCTGCTCCAGGATGCGGGCCTTCTCCTCGTCCAGCGTCATGCCGTAGCGCACGTGGAGCGCCAGCGCGCCGTACTGCATCTCCACGTCGGCGAACCTACGAGTCCTGCCGTTCACCACCGTCGTGGACTGCGACACGGTGACGTTGATGCCGTTCTCGAGGGCCTTCCGCCCGCTCGTCAGCCGCAGCGTGCCCAGGTCGCTCTCGGGGGAGGTGGTTTTGATGAAGTAGTGAGTGTCCTTTCCCTCAATGGTGAAATGCAGGTTTTCTAGGTAGTAGGCGTTGTTCAGAACAGCTGCCACTTTTATGCAGTCCTCGTTGGCGATGTTGAGCACGTTCGTCTGCACTTTGCCTTGGTTGACAGCGAGCATCACCCCTTTCCCAATGAGCGACTTCACCGTAGCGAACCACAGCCATGACTTCTCTGCACCGGATCTCCGTCTGCTGACCTGCACTTCTGCCATCTTTCCCAGGGAAAGGAAAGCCTTTGCTTGTCTCGCCACTTGTTGTTGCACTCCAGAAATCGGCTGTAAACAAGAACAGACAGAAGTTTTACCAACCATCTGTAGCCCTCGAGATGCCAAACAGCCAGGCTTTCTTGGTAGGCTGCCCGTGGCCAACAACAGGATATGCCACAACTGACAGCGCCAAGGAGTTAATTAAATCTACATACAGCTTGTTCTGCTGCACTGCAAGACTATAGGGTTGGCAATGTTCAGTGGGTTTTTTTCTGTCCCCCTGAGAACCTGCATATGCACAAAAAGTGTAACTCAAGACGCTATTTAGTGGGCCACACAGGCTATGTCTTTGTGATACTATTACTTAATATGGGAAAGAACTATCATACTGCAGTACTGTTCATCCTTGGAACCTGTTTGATTGTGATTCCGGCTTTTCAGAAGGAGTAACAGATCATGGGATCTCTTAGGAAAGCAGAGATTAGAGTAACAGTGAATCTGGCTTCAGTGCTCTATGCTGGCTGTTATAATACCCTCATCATCATGGGAAAAACCCTGATTCTTTTTTTATTTTCCAAATTAGAGACAGTAATAAGAGGTTGGTTATACTGCTGGTTATACTGTTTTCATCCCATACAGATCTGACCCAGCCCCTTCCTGCAGGTCTGCTAGATGTGGAAGGGTAGAAGCATTACTGACTTATTAGTTTGACTTATTACATTGACTTATATTTACATGTAGGTTTACAGCAGTGTTGCAGTGATGTCTGTGGTTCACAGGAGCAGTAACTGTCTATCATGGTTCCATCTAAACTGAGTGTTTTGCAGGTCATGAAGCTCCACTTCAAAATAAGAATAAGTCTATGTCTCATGGGTAGCTACAGGCACAGGCAGAACTGCAGGGAGTCTGTACGTAAAGGCAGTAAAGGAAGGGGAGGAATCGAACCATGATGATAGTCTTTACAGTAAAAGAGAAAGAAGCAAAGAGTACAGGGCAGAAAGGTGGAATATTGGGGAATGATGCCCTTTCTTGCAAATAATTGCAGAAATTGATGAAAAGGGATCTGTGAAAAAGCTACAGCCAATTAAGTCAGGTGACCTTTCATTTCACTTGCTCTGGTGGAGGCCATCCCAGTATCAATGCGGTGGCTGAGGGCTAAACGAGACCAGCAGCTTCTCTCTGGAGAACTGTTGTAAGGGGGAGGAAACTACAGTTCCAGTATGTCGTGTACAAGCCTGTGGAAATCAACTCTGCCTAAATGCTTGGTGAGGTGCAGAAGTACCTAACTGAAAGGGCTAGGGTAGGAGAACGTGTAACAACGTCTCCTTGAGTATGCAGAGCTGTGCGTGCGCTCCAGGCATCCTGTATGGACAGGGGAGAGCCAGAGGAGGCGATGTGGTGGCCAGGGCGCCCATGAGAGCGGCCGCAGCGGGCGGCTCAGCAGCGCGGCCAGCAGAGCTCGGGTGGGACTACTGCGCAGGAGAGGCACGTCCCTCTGCCAAACCTCGGGCCTCAGCAGCTCCGAGCGGTGAAGGAGCTGCCGTTGAGGGAGCTGGGGCCTCAGCAGCTCCGAGAGGTGAAGGAGCTGCCGTTGAGGGAGCTGGGGCCTCAGCTCCGAGCGGTGAAGGAGCTGCCGTTGAGGGAGCTGGGGCCTCAGCAGCTCCGAGCGGTGAAGGAGCTGCTGTTGACGGAGCTGGGGCCTCAGCTGCAAACGAGGAGGAAGATTTTTAAACAGCTTTGGCTGCGTTTTTGAAAAGCAGTCAGTTATTATAGATTACCGAGTTTATCTTCCAGTTGACTCGCTCCCCTTTCAGTAAAACACTGTTTAACCCATTTGATACATGGCTGACAAATGAGGCCATGGTCTGCTCCGTCTTCCCAAATTTCTGGGTAGGAGACCAAGCAGGAATCATTAACCACCTCCTAGAGTCCTAAACCAGCCCTGCTGGTAATCGCAGAGGATGGCTCCTGGGGGAATTGCACACTGGCTCTCACCTCTTCTCAAATGGGGGGATTCCTGTCTCTCCATACTTGCTAATAAGTATGGAATTCAGCTGCTCTCACGCCTACATGAAGGCTGCAAAGCACAAGACACGCTCTAGACGGGACACCGCCCAGTAAGAGCAGCAAGATATCAGAGCACTTTGTAATAGCAGAGCTTGTTCATTTTTAACATGCATCCTCGGAGCTCTGAGGCAAAACCAGAACACTGCAAAGCTCACTTTTGCCAGAATCTTTCAAAATACCACGTGCTTTGTGTGTTTACTCCTGGCTGCTGGTTGTAATTGCTTGTTCAGCAATGAGTATCATACCTGCAGCTTCTTCCTACCTGGGAATTTTTAATACATTTTTTTCCTCCCC